AGACACCAGGCAACACACAGCTGGAAACCCAACCCACAGAGCCTGCTTCGGTGACCCTGGGCCCTTGACACGTTAGTGTTAGCGCACAGCTGATTAGATATTTCCTCACAAGGAGTTAAGTTAACAAAAGGTCAGTGAACTTCTCTAAAAAACAGCCTTGTTGCGTCTGTTGATGGATGCCTGGGGATTTATAGATAACCTGCTAATGCCTTCACCAGGAGTGAAGGGCAGAAGTCCCCCAGGGGCTGAGAGATCTGGTCCCCTTTCTTAGAACATCTGCTCTGCTGGGGGCAGGGCTCCCTTTCCTGCAGGCCCTGTATGCATTTAACAGGCTCCTGAGGCCGCCTTTTCCAAATGGCTGTGCCCTGGAAAGCAAGCAGCCCTGAGCTGGGCAGAAAGGCCGGTGCTTAGAGCAGAGGCAGGAAGCCGAGTCCCTGGCTGCCACAGGCCTTGATGCAAGCAAATCTTTTGCCATCCGGAACTTTCTGAACTGTGGCTCTCTCATCGAGAGCACCCCTGACCTTCTCAGGGCTCAGTCTTCACTACATGGGCCTCCTTGTGAGACACTGAGGGGTGCGGAGCCCGTAAACCCCACAGAGCGTTCCCGGGACCTGCACTTGTTTTGGTCAGAGCTGGTCACATAGCTGGGTGCAGCTATTGGGTTGAAAGGTGTCCCAGGAAAAGAAGGCCCAGCTGCTTTGTTAAACCCCGCTCAGTGGGCGACATTGGCTAATCCGATGAAGGCAATGATAGCAGCATCTACCTCACAGTGATGGGTTTTATTTTTGAGGGGACACTGAGTATCATCTCATTTAATGTGTAAAACAGTAAACACTGAGCTCTCCGGGGTCTTGCCCCTTCTCTCCTTCCTAGTCATCCTGGAATACAGCCAGGAAGGCAGCTTCCTAAGTGACAGTAGTGACGCAGAACCCTCAGGAACAAGGCACTTGGCATTTCATCACCCAAAGTTAGTGAGCACATACCGTCTGCCAGGCACTGTGCTTTGGGGTCCACAGGTGAACAATGCAGACAGCCCGCCCTGGCAAGCTTTGCTGAACAGCTAGGTTTGAAGGGTAGAGCACTAATGTGTTTTATTCTAAAAAAAACCCAACTAATTCTGCACACATCATCACTACTTTCCTAAATCAGATATGTGCTATAAAGCAAACATGATTTAATGTTAACTTTTCATTAATGCTCAGTGTGGCCACAATGTGAAACAGTCATCACGCAGACTGCTGTAATCCTGTTACGGAGAGTGCACTAAAGAGCTCTGGACGGCTGTATTCTGGGTTCTCATTTCTGCTTCTTAACGTTTTTTTGTCTCAGTTATTACTATCTGTGGAGTTACTGTAATCCGCAGTGGGCTTTCCTCTGGTGTGTTGCTGTGGACTAAGCTGAAAACAAAGGCTGTTAGAATCATGTGTAGAATTAGAGCAAACCCGTCTGTGTGACCATGGCAGGAGCTCCTCTCTAGATACAGTAAGTGAGCTCATTCACAACTTGTGACATTTAATTCTGGTTGCACAACCAGTGTTCTTTTTTTTTTTTTTTTTTTTTTTTTTTCCGGGGGTGGAGGGGCTTGACAGAAGAAATTGCTAGATGCACTATAAAGTACCTTACCAAACTATATAAGTTGGCAGAAATAGTTAATGTATTTGTCCTCCCCTCTCAAGGCTGACGAAGAATAAAAATTAAATAAGCATTTGGTATTCCAGCTCAAGAGGAGTGCTGGGAGGCAGCTGTATAGTCAACATTGGGGAAAAAATATTTACATCTACTATGCCTCAGGCTTGATAGTGAGGATGGGAAAACATCCCTAACCTTGACAAAGTTACTGTAGAGTGAAATGTCAGGGCCAGGTAGAACTGGGTGTGAATTCCAGTTCTTCACTGAATAACCGAGTGACCAGACAGATAATTTAACCTCTTCAAGCCCATTTCCTCTTCTGTAAAATGAGGACCATGGTACTTGCAGGATTGTTACAGAATTAAACAATTTGACATACACAGAGGGCTCCTCATACATCCAGGATTTGATGTGTGGGAGGCATTGCTATTATAGCCACTATTACTATTATTACAAAAATGACACTTCTTCTCCATGTATGAGCGTGAAGACCAGAGCTACAGAACTACCTGCCACTCTCCAGAGGTGTGAACTTTGGGAAATTACTAAACAGTTCTGAGCCCTGATTTCTGTATTTGTAAAGTCAATAGATAGTATGTGCCTCACAGGATTACAAGGAATCTACAGAATGACATAAGTAAAAGATCTGTTCATAATAGATGCTCAAAAATGTTCTTTCTCCCTTAATTTTATCTTTAGACAAGAAATCATTTCAGCAGGACTTATATAAACAAATAGGAGGCAGTCTGTTCCTTTAGTCCATCAGACCTCATTAGGTTAATTCATGACTTCAGAAGTGCTAGGTAGTGATAAAATCTCTCAATTCTTTTTAAGAAACTGCTGCAAATTTATCTAAAGAATCAGAAAAACTTGCTTGCCCTAGAGTAGTTGCAACACATATTAAAACAACCTACCTGTTTCTGAGTCTGTTTCAAAAACTAAAGATTATTCCTGATCCTAATTGAGCCCATGTAAAAACCGATGGTCCTTAACATGCTTATATGTGACCCTTTAAAACTGAACCCTCTTGGAGGAATTACTTTGAAGAGTCTAAGTTCATCATTTGCTTCCACATCTAAGGTAATGAAGAGATGGTTGTGTTCATTACTCCTTTTTCAGCTGTATCAATGTGTTTAAGAAGCCTTCAACATCCTACACTAATTACATTAATTGTAATGCTGTGCGCCTGCCAATAATGACCCGCAGACTAACCCCGGCCTTCCACATGCTGACTTTCCGGGCGGTGAACAGGAAAGGAGCCAACAGAGCTTTCAAAGTGGGAAAGGAAGTGGGGAGTCTAGACCCTGACAAGTTAATAACTTAGTGGGTGAACAAAGCTGAGAAAACAGCAGAGTGGGCTGCAGGAAAGGGGCTGTGGCAGGCAAGACAGCGGGGAGCAGAGATGCCAAGAAAGGGAGGGACAGCAGGCATTCCAGGTCAGAGGATGGTCACAGAGGTTCAGAGACATTCAGGCTAGAGCAGAATCTACAGAATCTGAGCCTCTACACTCTCCCACCTGTGTTTAGGATCCTGGTCACATCTTTCTTTTATTCCACCATCCCCTTTCAATGAAATCCTAAGGTTTTAACATGCAAGAACCACTCACACTGAAAAAATCAAACAAACTAGAACAATCCTCCTGACTCCACATCTCTTCCCTGGTCACCATTGCTGAGCACTCCCTCCTTGAAACTCTTTCTTCCCTTGGCCTCTTTGACATTGTCTTCTCCTGGTTTCTAGTTTGCCCCTTCTCTTTGGCTCTATATGCTAAATGTATTTTCTGGGTTCATCCTAACTCCACCTGAGCAGTAAACAAGAATGCTGAGGTTCCGCAATGAGCATTCTGGATTTCTCCTCTTCATTACATTCTTTCTCCCTGAATGATCTCAGCCTGGCCCACAATTTCAGTTGCCACTTAGCTTTGGATGACTCATTCACCTGTGTGCATTGCCAGCCCTGATGTTTCCTCTAACTCTAGACTAGAGCCACACCTTTTACCATCTAATTGATACTCATTCTTAGGTACTCAAAGGCACATCAAACTCAACAGGACCTTCTTATGATCTCTTCCCACTGTCAATTTTGGCATCATTTATCCTCCATCTCACATATAAAACAAAATGCCAGAGTCAACCTTAACATCTCCTCGATAACCAAGACCTGTGGACTTTACCTACGAAATTATGCATCCTTCCCTCCATCCCTTCAGAAACCTCCTTTGTCCAAGTGACCACCATTTTTCTCCAGGTGCCTATGGTGACCTCCAAAACTGGTCTCTTCCTGCAACTCTTCAATCCTTTCTCCATTCTCTAGACTTATTCTTTAAATGAAAACAAACAGGATTATGTCATCCCTGTGTTTAAAAGCACAGCATAAGCTTCCTATTGCCCAATCCTTGATGAGGCCTCCATGACCTGCGCATCCTGGCTCCTGTAAACCTATCTGGGCTCATCTTTTATCACTCTTCTCCTCTCTTGAATAATCCCTTATGCTTTCAAAAGCTCTCTGCTCTTACTACAGGGCTTTTACACATGCCATTCTTTCTATGTGAAATACTTTCCCCACCCCACCCTATTGCCTAGTGTTCCTTCATAATTCAAAAGTTATATCTTCAGAGAAGCCTCATTTGATCATCTAGAGCACGAATTTTTCAAACTTGAGTGCGTATCCTGATCTCCTGAGGACATATGAAAACACAGGTGCTGGGCCCCACCCCCAGAGTTTTTAATCCAGTAGATCTGGGGGTGGGAAATGAGAATGTGGTTTTCTAATTAGTTTCTAGGTGAGGCTAAGGCTGTCGGCCTAAGGACACACTTAGCCAGAGTAGACTAGCCTTTTGTATTACATGCTTTCACAGCCCTACATGCCTCTCCTTCACACACTTTCATGGCTGAAATTTTACATGTTTTAGCATAGTTACTTGGTTGACTCCTCTTGCCTCCCCACCAGGCAGTAGCTATAGGAGAACAGGGATCTTGGATGATTTTGCTCATGATTTTACCCCGGAGCCTAGCTCAGCACTGGGCACACAGTAGCCCCTCAGTAAATATTTACTAAAGGAATGAAAGGTGAATGATTACAAAAGGTATGGAGAAAAATACACCTTAAAAACCTTAAATAGTCATTTTGCAAACCAAGCATCTGCATCAAATAGATACTTTTACATTCAAATTCCTAAGAATCAGTCCTTGGATAGGAAGTTAAGTCATGACAGACCAATAACCTTTTAAGCCCCGGGACTGTATCATCTTATGCTGGGGACTGACCTACCCTAGCTAATTGGGAGTGCCAGAAGGACACAGGGCTGAAAGAAGTGGATCTTCTAGGAAATTGTCAGAAAGCTAGACAACAGGAGGCTTCAGAAAGCCACTTTTATTGAAAATAAATACTTGACAAGAGAGATCAAGGACGTTTCTGACAAGAGACGTTAAGGCAGGCCAGAGGAACATCCGTTAGGAGTATAAGATAACTCTAGAAATCACACAACTTGATCATTTTTTCATTAAAAAAATTGCTGTAAGAGAAGTATGAATCTTGAGAGAGACAAGTAGTAATGTTAGGAGACAAGACATTGCAAAGGTGGTCTGTTAAGTTCTCTAAAAGAATCAGGAAAAAGAGAGTCAAAAGCAAAGCACCATTTTCTGATAGCATTTCCTGGTGATTTCCCCAGAGATGGTGATGAGAGAAAAGAGAGAGAGATGCCAGGGACAGGTAAAGGCAGGAAGACATTGTTAAAAGGAGGGATATTATTAGCAAAGAAGGTGATGCCCTGTCTCCACACTGAAATAGCAGACAGAAACTCTCCTCTGAGAAGGAGACCACACACAAACCCAAATGCTCCACGGGCACAGGGCAGAGGGTGGCACACAACAACGGAGGCCACAAGTCACCTTGTGAGAGCCAATGGCTGATGAGATCTTTCCAGATTGTCCATCTCAGATCTTGAGGCAGGAGTTCCAGAGTAGATGCATGTCTTCCATCTTTCCTCTGTGGTGAAATAGAAGGGCTTCTCTGGGCTGCTCTGTTTCTCAAACATCGCACTTGCCAGTCTCTGGAGAGACTCCCTCTGGAGTCTCACCAGTTCAGGAATGTTCTGGTAGTCTCCAGGAAAGGCCAGTGTTTATGTGGTTGACCTGGTGAATTCAAATATGTCCCTGAGCACATGTCCAGGAAAAGGTAAGGTGATGAGTGCCCGGTGGCCCAGTCCAAAAGCAGCCATGACTTGATATAGGCGTTATCCATCTGGGAGCAGACCCAGGATGGCTGCACAGCTGGAATCTCTGGACAGTGCACCTTTTCTGGCAGGGAAAGTAGAAGATGTCTCAACAGGGGTTATTTTCAAGACACAATCATATGCTAAAGGCCTAAAGTTGGTGGAAACCTTCTGCTCCACAGTGCTTTTGGGGACATGGAAGAGAGAAGGAATGCAGGGTAACAGAAAGCAGTTGGGTTTGAAGTTTAGGTTTGGGTACTAGTTCTATCACTTTTTAACATGGGATGCTGGCTGATTTCCTCTGTGAGCCTCAGTGTTGCGAGTACCACAGCTTCTTTGTAGGGATTGTGTGACTAGAAGGGAGAATGTATGTGTAGAGCCTGGCATTATAATAAGGACTCAAGCAATGGCAGCCAAAATAGTTATGTGAACAGATCCTGCTCGCCCCCATAGTCTAGATACAAAGAGTTCTTTCTGGAAATAGAGAAGAGGCTCTAGCTTCTCTTGCAGAGGTGATACCACTGACCTCTGGTCGACAAGCCTTGCCCTCTACCTGGCCAGGCGGGAGCTGGGGCCCATGCAGCTTCCTCAGCATCACGGGGCTGTGCTCCGCCAATACAGGTGTTCTCATCATCACAAAGCAAAGTCACCAGAAAGGTCAAAATGGTATCGTTCTTTCCTTGTAAGCACTCAGAATCTTGGTCAGAACTTTGCCCAGGAGGTCAAGAGCTGAGGAGACAGGGTGACTAAGGACCATCAACATAATGACAATAACAACAAACATTTATAAAACTATTACCTTGACTGGACAAGCATTAACCCTCAGGATTCGTTTTTATGAGGATCTTAGGAGTCAGGAACCAGTCCTAAGCCTTTTAAGAATGGGAGAACTGAGGCTTAGAGTGGGCATCAGTAACCTGGACAATGCCACACAGCTAGTAGGCAGCAAACCCAGGTTTCAAACCCAGGGAAGTTGGCCCTGGAGCTGGCACACACATGATTTAGTCCTTTCCCTCCTCCACATCCTTAATAAAAACCTCCAGTCCTAGGAATGGTGGGTGCCAGTCCTTCCAGGAATGGAGAGGTCCTTAGTGCATCTATAAAGAGAGCCAGGTGGATGACCTGAAACATGGGGCTGAGAGAATCGGAGTTCAGGCCCATCTAAGAACATCTCAGGGAATCACTTCTTCCTATCTCTTCTGAATAGGTTGTCCTGAAAAATCAGACCTACCTGTGACACTATCTACCCCCCACCCCGCCCCATCCCTGTGGGTAGAGTCCCTGGAGGATACAGGAGAGGAGTACTGACAGTCTGTGAACTGACAGACAGAAGGAATGTCCCTGCCCAGAAACAGTGCAGCTACTTACAACGGATGGTGTCAAATACACCTAGTGGGCTCTTGGCTGAAAGATACTAACTCTGTACAGCAGAGGCCAGCTCTGGGCCAGACACAATTTCCTATTTGATGGGCAAAGAGGGTCCAGCTGGATATTCCTTTCTGGGAATGAAAAAAAATCAGAATATACAGCAACACAGGAGGTACCCCCATACACACACACATAAACATGCAACACACAAACATGCAACATTCATACACAAACACACAACACACACGCACAAACATGCGCACGTACACATACACACAGATCTCATTTCAACCAGAACAGCTGCTCTTTCATTTGTTTCCCTATAAGATTTGAACAAAGAGTGCTGCTGCTTTAAAAAATGAAAAGGCTACAAACCACAAGTCTAGATGATTTGTTCTTAAATCACACTTAATTTTTTCTAAATATGCAAGTAATATATGCTCACTGAGAAAACGGGGAAATATAGAAACTTATGAATAAAATAACAGTCACTAGTTAATCCTGCTGCCCTAGACGGTTCCCTTTGATGTGGGATAAAGGCTCCTTGGCCTCAAGAATACCCCAGCTTCAGTAACCATTGACATTCTCATGATCACTAACCAGGAAATGAACATCAAAACTGGCTAGAAAGAGAGAAGTATAATTGAAATTAGGAATACATGAGGGAGAAGCAGTCCGAGAAAGGGAAGTGGGGCTTGGCTGGTATGTAAGAGTTCCCATCAGAATCGAAGGATGATGGGAATTAAATGATGACCCCCATTAGTCCCAGTTGAGACCTCAATGAGGGGTAAGAACAGAGAAGGATACAACCATGTTGCCAAGAGTGCTAAGATTGTGGCTTCCTGCCACCACACAGTATCAGAGCTTGGGAAAGGTAAATCATACTACAGGATCACAAGGAACATGTCTATGATGACAAAATGACAAACCTGTTTGAACAACTAACATGTTAAGGAAAAGACCTAATTTCACCGAGTCCAGATGCATTCTCGTTAAAGAGAAGAATTGAAAATGCTGAAGACGGCTGCCCTGTGAACACTGTGGCACTTACATTATAAAAAGGTTAGACCAGGGACAGCAAAGATGAGCATGGGACCCTGCTGTTAATACCATGCTCATGACAGACAGTAGTAATCAATTACAGCACACTTTCCCACAGAGCTTTGATGTGGCCTCAGAATCTTCCTCAATAAGCTTTTAAAAGAGCTGAGGATAAAAGGGGAGAAAAACCCAGGGGCTAGGGCACTGAGCACAAACAGTGGGGACTGGCTTCACTAATGGCCTGGGGAGGTGCGTCAAGCCTGCAAGTGTCCTGTGAAGATAGCGGTGGGCAGATCTGTGTGACAGTGTCCTTGCTGTCTCAGACAGACATTCCAGGTCACGCTTGTCTCTGAGTCTCAAGATAAAGCAAGAACTCTTCAGAAGCTATTAAACAGTTCTCCAAAAGGGCAGGTTTTGAAACCAGAGACTGAGAGAGCTGGAATGAGCTGCTTATCTGGAGAGAGGCCCCCTTGCCTGCAGAAATGGAAGATAATGTTTTTATAAAAAGGGGTGTGTTTTAATGTGGATCTGGGTCCTAGGAGACCAAAACAAGATAAATGCAACCAGTTAAAAAGGTTTCAGCAACACAAAGTCCCAGGACAAGGCTTGAACAAGAAAATTTCCTGGCCTATTTGGAATAATTACTTGAGGGGGCCCATAACAGGTATTTGAGAAGCAGGTCTGAGATTGCTGACAGAATATATAATACCAATAACAATAAAGCTGGTTATCAAACAGAGCAAAACAAAGCAGGAAATGGCCCTGAAGGGACCTATTTGGATAATATTGTGTCTCAAAAGAACACAGGGTTCCCAAAGCTTTTCTATCTCACAAAGAAAACTTTTCTAGCAAAACAGTGATATATGCGGGTTGTGTTAAGGAAATGAAACTTACATTTCACTTTTTAGAGTCAACTTAAAGTACAATCCCCTATTCATTGATTTGCGTCTGCACGTCCGTGCCTCCTTTTCCTTGCGTGGGGAGGTGACAGATTTGGAGGCTTTATCAAGGGAAAACAGTCTCATGTACCCAGAGTGTTACCACTGAAACGGCTCACACCCATCCTTGGAGTTAAGAGGCAGGGCCTACTGCTTTCTGAAAGATCCAGAAAAATATGATGGCTGAGCCTGCCAATGACAGGCTTAGTATGGGAGGAAGGGCGGTGAATGGAAGCCTGAGCACCCCATGGCACAGCAGTCCCAGTCCTGGTGCCACTGGTTTCCATGGGGGGGAGGGGAGGAAGAGGGGGTAGTGACTGAGGCTGCAGGTGTCAAGCTTGTTGGGCCAGCACTTACATCCCTGGAACCTTCAGTGCCATGACCATCTGTGGAGGGGCTCCTATATCCCTATTTGATTGAAAAGGAAATCAATACGGTGAGAGTAAATAACTTGTCCTAGGTTATTCAGCTGATAAATAGCAAATCTAGGCTCTGAACCCATATCTGGCAGATTCCAAAACTGTCCTCCCCTCTGAGGCACCAGTTGGTCAGATTTCAAAGAAGCGTCTTGCCTCAGAGACCTTTTGCAATGGTTGAAAGTGGAAATTTACTTAATTCTGGAGAGGGATGGATTTAGATAAACCTCCTTCAGCTGCCTCTTAACAGGGAAATTACAACTGTGGACTCGGACTCCGACCTTGGCGGCCCGGGCACAGTCCGGTGCTCTTATCTAAGTTCTTGGTGAGGTGGTGGGTGTTCCCTGGGTGCAGGTTTGGGCCAGGGGTCCCTGGGGGCCGTGCTCCTGTACCCTCACTGCTCTCCAGGTTTCTCTTCCTTCCCTTTCATTATTTTGCTCTTATCACCACCATAGGCATGAAAGGAACGAAGGGAGGATGAGGAAGGTCATAAGAAAGAGAAGCCAGGGGTGAAAGTTTGCTGTGACACATCACTCCCCGTAATAAAGGGACCCTGTAACCTCCTGGAGGTTTGTTAACTTGTTTTTCCACATAAAGTGGAGTAAGGGTGGCCAATAAGTGAGCATGTACTTACATACCAACATTTTACCAGCCCAATTCCTTCCCGGAATATAGCTAGGAAAACAGATAAGATGTGCACTCCTATTCCTTGCCTGACCTGATTGTTTATTTAGCCTACTGACCCTACTTCTAAAAGGGGCACTTTGCTCAACCAAACATCAGTTAGAAATGTGGGTTAATGAGGAAGGTATTAAAAGCAAGAGTCTGTCAAGAGAATCAGATCAATGATCAGCATCTTCATTAATATTAGAAGATCTCATAGTTTTCCTGTCTGTATAAAAATATACAAAATGGGATTAACCAATGACATGAGCCCAGAGAGGGCAAATGACCTCATAGGTGTCACCGGGACTCAGTGAGATGGAGCTGTAGCCTGGCATACGGGCATGCCCTGTTCAGAGGAAAGAGACCTGAGGGACACGAAGGAGTGTGTGTCTGTAGAGGCGCACACATCCTACCAGAAACTGCAGTGCGTTTTGGTGAGTGTCACAGACAAGAGCAGAATGAGGGTGTGCACAGCACAGATGGATGGTCAGACATGAGGTGCAGGGGGTCTCTCCTACTTTGGATCACTGAACTGGGATAGAGGTGAGAGAGAGTAGTAATGAGGGGCTCAATCATCCTAGCACCAAGAAGGCTTATTACATAAAGCAGCGGAACTGATAAACTTGAGGAAATCACATTCTTTTGAATGTAGACAAAAGATAGGTGGGAGCCTATGGCCTGCAACCCTAAAAAGGGAGAGACTCAAGAGGGACAGTGGCTCTGCCAAACGAACTGAATCGTGACTAATCCCCGAGGGGACACAGCTATAGGTGCCATTGTGTTTTTCATGACATGCATGGTTTAGAAAAGGACATGGACAAAGACAGAAGGAAGGGCACAGTACCAAGGACAAACTGAGGAGAGTGACACCTTTCTGTGAGAACAGTGCCCAACATGAGCTGAGGCTTGCAGAAAACAACAACAAAACAAAGCAAAAAGGGTGGTAGTATTAGATTATTCTCAGTTATGACTGAAAAAGCGACGAGGCCCATTACTTAGGATTCTTGTAGCATGTAAACAGGATAGAGAAAGTAAGACCACCCAACTCCCATTTTACGTATTGCTCCTCCTAAGAGCAAAGTGGTCTTAACGAGGAAGTTGAGAGAAGCATCGCTAGAAGAGCACTGGACGCAAGGCGGGGGGACCTGGCATGCCAATGAGGGCTGTATTTCCATTATGTCCAAGTCTCCAGGCCCTGCAGTCTCCCATCCAGGCCCCTGGACAATCCTGCAGCTGGGATAACAGAGCCTTTGTGCTTGATGCCTAAAACACTCCTGAAGACTGGTTCCAAAAGATTGTTGGATACAGTACCTGCTATGTGAACCAATAAGCCTGGCAAAATTTTAATTAAAATGTAATTTTTTAAAATGTAATTTAGAGAAAGTTTTTTTAAGCCCTTTGACAAGGATGACTATTGAGAACTAGCACAGGTTTGAGAAAAACAAGCCAGACCAAATAACTATTGTCTCCCTTCCACCCGCCTCCCCACAGATCCTCACAGCTGGGCTTTGCCATTCTTGAGTCACTATCTCCAGCCTCAGTGCCTTTGTCACACAGTGCTCCTTCATGTGGAATAGCCTACCTTTGTCTGGCTGTTTGTCCTTCAAAACTCAGCTTAAACTGCACCTCCTCTGGGAAACCTTTCCTTCTGCCCAGCATGGGTTAGAAGTTCCTGCTATAATTGATTGTGTTCTCCCAAATTCACACGTTGAAATCCTCAATATGATGGTGGTAGAAGGTAAGGCCTTTGGGAGGTGATTAGGTCATGAGAGTGGATGGGACTAGTGCTTTTATAAAAGAGGCCCCAGAGCTTCTCTGTCTCCCTCTGCTGCATAAGGATATGGTATGAAGATACAAGGAGAAACCTATGACCAGAAAGAGGGCTCTCCCCTGACCATGCTGGCCCTGAAATCTGATGTCCAGCTTCCAGAATTGTGAGCAGTACGTTTCTGCAGTTTGTAAGCCTCCCAGGCTGTGGTATTTTGTTACAGCAGGCTGCAAGGACTAAGGCAATCCCTTATGCGTGCTCACCAAGCACTCTGCTATCATAGTGCTCTTTCTGGGGTTACAATGGGCAGCTTTCTTATCTGCCCTCTCCAGTGCCTGTAGGTTCTGAAGGAGGTTGTAGTTTCAAAGCCCAGAACAGTGGCAGACACATGGGGACCCTCAACACATGATGATTGCTTGCATGAGTTCTGCTGAGAGGTTCAAAGTCAACCCAAAGGGAGTTGTCTCTAATTGTGTTCCATGGACTTCTCCAGGTCTAGATTTTTATCAGTGACTTGGAGAAATAATATACTTTCAGAGACTGTAAGGCTCAGAGAAAAAGATAATTAGATAAAAGGCTCAAGGTTCAAGATTTAACAATCTACAGGCTGGCTATAAAACCTGAAAAGATAGACAGCTTTTCTATATGGATTGATTTTGTATTTGTCTGTGGCATGCTAAAGCACAGGCCGTGTTGTTGGTTGTTGGGTGAAAATCAGAGACAGATAGTTTGAAATAATGCATCACAGGTGAATATGTGGGCTTGATGACAATGCTGCATCGATGCCCCAGAGTCACTGCAATTTCATACAGTGCTCTGAACTGTGCACTGCTAATGACAATACATTGAATAGATCATGTAGTGTCACTGACCACATTGTGCATTATACTGTAATATCGGTAAGCCATTTATCATGCATGTGCTTCTGTGTTTCCAGACTTATAGTTACTCTGTAGAAGGACAACTGAAACAACACTAAACTTCTAATAGAAATATTCATGAAGCTTTATGTTAGGTCTCAAGAAAGTCAATTGGATATTTAAAGTATGCGGAATATATGGCTTTATTCACCCATCCATCCAACTGTATTGAACACGCACAATATACCAAATACTGTAGTAGAATCTACAAATTTAGTGGAAAAGGAACACTGCCTTCCCTGAGCTTATATCCTGGCAGAGGGAAATGGGTAATAAGTAAGCAAACAAAATACTTCCAAATGCTGATGAGGGCTCTGAATAAAATAAAACAATGTATGATAGGAGAAGAGACAACTTTGGGTGGGATTAGGTAGCTGCCTCTGAAGCTTGCAGAAAGTTTATGTACAGAAGATCTGGGTGGAGCCTGGCTGTCCATTAGCTCGAAGTGAGTCTGGAACATGCTGTGACTATTCCAATATAAACTGCAAACTGGGTCAGATTAATGGAAGCAGAACATTGAGATAAGGGCAGTGACAATCCTACTCCCTCTGGAGCATTCACACCACTTCTGGACCAACTTCTACAGCTGCAAATGCTACTCATGGTGTCTAGCTAGAAATCACATCTTATGAGGACTGATTGAGAAAATTGGGAAAGTTTAGCTAGTAGAAGGAACCACTAGGCAGTCATCTTTGAAATATCCAAAGATTCAAGATGTTCAGAAGGGAATGAGTCCTGTTGATGTGACTCCAAGAGTCTACCTTGAATTATTGAGAAGATAGCACGTATAGTTTAAAAGAGGGGAAACATATCTAAAAGAATTAGACCTATACAGAAATAGGACAGGCTTTTTGAAGAAGTTAGTACTCAACCCTCAGAAGTATTCCAGCAGAGGATGGGTAAACTCTGTTAAAGATGAGGAATCGCCATATTGGGCAAAAGATCCCTTTCTAGGACACAGCTTTGGGACTGGGGTATAGTTTTGTTTCTTTGAGTGGAAGATCTTTTCATCTTGGGAAGCCAAATCAGCTTTAAAATATTTGAGCCTCAAGCAACAATCATGCCAAGTCCTTTGTATCCTTCCTTTCTCCTAAGAGCTTTTGTTTCCTTGGAAGAGTGGTTTCTTGAAGATCAGAGGCACTGATCTATCTTTAGTCATGGGTGTCTCTTGCCATTGGGACAGAATGATGTCCTAGGCCTGGGTCTGTGCTGGAAGATGTGGACTCCTGGCCTTCCCTGTCCTCAGCAACAGTGAGGTGATGGGGATGGGATGCTCTAATGGCATGCCTACTGATGGAAGTAACTTGCACTCGCCAGTACTTCAGAAACCCAAGCCCTGGGGACCAGGAATTATGTCAAGACTCCCAATAGCAGAATTTACTAGAAACGACTGTATAATCCTTCTGCTCAAATCTCCTCTTTGTATGTGTGTGTTTGCATGTCAGTGCAAGGAAAGCTCTCTGAACTTGTCAACTTCCAGTATGAAGTGGCTGTACCTTGAGGCTCAGGTCAAAGGCTCATTCTGTGTAGAGCACTGTAGAGTTCCTTTCCTCAGAAGGCCTCTCCCTCTCTCTGGAATGTGGATTGATCATGGTCAGACAGGTGCTCCACTTTCTGTTTGAAATGCTCTTATACTGTGTCTTCACAGAAAGGTTTGATTGAACTCTAAACTCCATATAGCTGATTTAATTGCTCAGCATAATAATTTTATGATTACAAATTGATAGCATATCAATTCTATCTCTACTCATATTTGGTCTGCTGGAACAGAAATTAAATCAAAACCCATTAAGATTAATACCTCAGGCAGATATTAACTTGAATCTTAGACTAATATATTTTTTGTCTATTTACCTTCTGAGTAAAACATGTGTTTTTGAAGGACAGAGGAAGACCTGGGATATAAGGGCAGTGAAGAACCCATACCTGAGCCACAGACAACAAAAACAAACAGTGCCAACAGCCACGGTCCCACAGGATATTTCTCTTCTTGTGGCCTCTAAAGAGAAGGGGAGAAAGTAAGATTAGGTTCATTAATTCGGGAAACATTTATTGAGTGCTACTAGTCACTGTGCTAGGAGCTGGGGCTACCACTGTGAATAAGACAGACTTAGTCTCAATGACCAGTGGGCAGATACAGATGAATACGGTCAATTGTAAAAGATCAAGATAGACTTAAAAACATTCATCAATAACCTTGCTTACATCCTTGTAACTCAATGAACTTGGTGGTCTTAAATATTCTGGGGACAGGGTATAAATACATAAAACTAATACAGTGATTTGGGAGCCAAAGATGATATTACTAATAACTGCTTCCATTTGTTGAAAGCACTCTTTATGACAGAAACCTCCTATATCCACTATTTCCAGCACTCACAACCCCATAGAACTCCATTCTGTAGTTGAGGACGGAAGCTCAAATTTGTGAACTTGGGCAAGAGCTGGAATTCAAATTTAGGTCTGCCTCATTACAGAACCTGGGTGTTTTCCACTGATAGCTTCGTTTTTAACTCCCACATCTGTGAATTCTAAGTAGGGTCACAGAGCACAGCCATGTCCTCAAAACCTTCCATATGCCAAAAAATTTGGGAAGGCAGTGCAGTGGAAATCTTTGGAATCCCAGAAGCACCACAACAACTGTGAATGGATGTGAGGGAAGCAGCGTTTGGTAATAAAGTTCCTAAATCTTTGTGAAGCTTACACTTTGGAAATTTCTTCATTCTCTGGGAAGCAGAGGGGGACTCTTGTACCCACACCAATCTAGCCCTGTGTACCTCCTGCTCTTCTCAAACCAAAAGCACAGACAGAACAAGAATGTCCCTCTGCAACCCCTCTAGGTCTATTGGCAGGTAGGGCTTGGTCCGTACAAATAAAATAAAATATTCTGAGAGGCATCTGAAACACTGGTGAATTTCTCAAATAAAAAGGGAGAAGGTCGAATGAAAAAAGTAGTGTCTTTGGTTCCCAGCTCACCTACTAACATTCTTAGAGGGCCTTCTCTCTTCTATCTCAATTGGGTTCACTTGTCATGTATACAGCCACATTCTTTTGCTTGGCATTTACCACAGTTTGTATCTCTGTTTATTCTTGTGATAATGTATTTAATGTCTGGCTCTTCACTAGACTGTAGGCCCCACAAAGGCAGGCACTTTCTCTTTCATATATCAATGTATAGCAGTGCATAATACAGAACTTAAACATAGATGTTCAATAAATGTTAATTGAAGAATGAATAAGCACCCAAGCTTCATTAAACATGATTTCTTAGGTCAGATAGGATAAAGATAGGGCCTAGGAAGGATATTGTCTTTTTATTATACTTCCTAATTGGCCTGAGGGTTATCCCTGCATTTCTCTTACTAGAAGAGTATGGATTAAAGTGTCAGTGGCAGGTAGATTCTGAAGGATTGAAACCATTCACTTCTCTGTCATTGACAAGCTTGCATCTACCCTCTTTATATATATATATATATATATATTTATATATATATATATATATTGTTTTCAGAGAGGAAGGGAGAGGGAGAGAGAGATAGAAACATCAATGATGAGAGGGAATCATTGATCGGCTGCCTCCTGCATGCCCCCTACTGGGGATCGAGCCCGCAACCCGGGCATGTGCCTTGGCTGGAATCGAACCCAGGACCCTTCAGTCTGCAGGCCAACCCTCTATCCACTGAGCCAAACCAGCTAGGGCGCATCTACCACTTTGTGTGAGGGCAAATCACACGGCAAGGAAAGAAGTGGTTGCCCTTGACTAGACAAGGACAAAGCCAGTCTTAAATAATTGCGTAAGATAACTTTAACCAGCATTTTTATCAGGTCATTCTTTGGCACTTAAGACCAGGTCAAGGTCAGATCAAGAAAATAGTAGAGAGATTAAATAAAGTTACCCGAACAGAGTGTGGCTTTACCCCTCCCCACCCTCTTTTACCAACTTCCTAACAATTTGTCATAGTTGCCCAGAAACCAATTCTGTTGCTATCATCCTACTAATGTTATATAAAAATTCGTTTTGCTCCATCTCCAGCAAAGCCACCAAGTGAATTCAGAAGTCTGTAAATGAATTATTGGTCGAGTCAGATACCAAATGAAGTCCTTTATTTTTCCTTTACTGAAAAACATAAATTATTAACATGCAGAGCTTGGAGCAAAACCGTTTTGATGATATTTGCCAGTGAATCAATATTACTTGGGGACTTTCAGAGCTCAGGAATACCTGGGTGATCATAATATCAATATATTCTTTTTGAGAGCTTCGGGTTACTTTTTTTGTGTGTGGAAGTGGTGCCCAGCATAATCTCACTGGGAAAATTTACCTAACCCTGAATCCACTGCTGGGAAAAGCAAGAAAATCAGTGGAATCCTGCAAATGACATGGTTCATTTCAAACAGAAGTTTGCCACTTCCCAAGGCTCCAAAATGTCAGTGGATGGCTTTCCCTGTGATAAGATAACAGCAGGGTAACTCAGAACTCTGGAATTTAAATTCTCTCTTCATTCTGAAGAAGTTACTACTGTATAATCATGAAATGATTATCCCATTTCTCTGTTTCTTGGCTTTATCTGCTATCTGGGAGAATAATTTTGATTCACTCCATAGCTATTAACTAATAACTAAATACTGAGGCATCTGCATATAATCAAAGGGCTTTATTTCTGAGTGATTAGTCAGAATTTTCAGTTAGAATCTGTTCATCTGTCCCCATTTATTGAATTTCATCTGAACAAGTTCTCCCTTGCAAGTTAATCTTTCAAAGTATAATGTTTGGCTTGTAATTAGGAAAATGAAATTTAGGATTTAAAGTATTGCTTTTTGTTGTTAATCCTCACCTGAGGATATTTTTCCATTGATTTTTTTAGAGAGAGTGGAAGGGAGAGGGAAAGACAGAGAGAGAAACATTGATCCGTCCCCTCCCACATGCACCCTGACCAGGGATCGAGCCTGCAACTGAGGTACATGCCCTTGACCTGGGACCCTTCAGTCTGCAGATCTACACTCTATACGCTGAGCCAAACCAGCTAGGGCTAAAGTGTTGCTTTTTAAAAGAGAATTTCATTTTTCTTTTTGGATGCTGATCCATTTATAATAAATTTAACCAAAAGCCATTCCAACCAAAGGAAAATAAACATACATTGTGGCTTGGTTTGGAAACCTTTCACTACAAATTTAGTGGAGCCATTTAAACACCCTCAGAAGTGCCCGGCACTTTTGAAGGGCCTACTCCAAGGTATATGTGAACTATTAAACTGCACTCATACCATAGATTAAACATGATTTGGATGCAACTCTGAAAGTTGAGTTGAACTGCAGGTGACTATATTTTCTAGATAGTTAAACATCTCTTTCTCCAACTTTTTCCATTTTCTTTTCTTATTTTGGAGCCAATAATTTTTGTTTCAGCTCCCAAATGCTTCCTAGTGGTCTCGAAAAGCTAGAAGTGGCAGACCTGTGTTTTACCAAGTCTAACAGAGGAAACAGCTCCACACATTAGTTTCTGTTTTGCTGTTATTTTTACAGTCAGGTAAGTTGTCAACTTAGTTCAGTTAACAACTGAATCCTGGTTCATTAAAAAGAAACACACAACTAGAGATTTTCAGTACATCAGCTAGTCTGTACGACATCCTAGAAAGAATTAATATCCTAGGGATATAAAATCCTGAATGCTTTAACGTCAATTAAAAGTTGTTTGTCAATGTGAATTTGAACAGCAAGTTGTTTTTTTATGAGTAAAAATAAATAGGGGAAACAGATCTTTGTGAAAAATGGTTCCAATTCAATGGCACATCGGCATTTTGCTGGTCAATCATAAATAAATGATCTAATTCCCAAGTGAAAGAATTTCAAGCACTTCAGCCTGGAGCTGTGCATAAAGCCCCGTGTACAGCTCAGTTTAATCCTAAAGTTTCTCTGCCACAGTACTGCTTGGTTTGCAAGATTTCTGGGGTAATGACTGTAGATCCAGCTTTTTGCTCAGTTAATCAAAGCAGCATTATTTCTTTGGCTAAAAGGAATTGTCTCATCAAGTCTGCAGGCTTTTCCAGCCAAACCCCAAGCTTCAGTTGGACTTCCACTCAAGTGCCTGGAATAATAGATTCCAGGTGCCTTTGCTCATAGACTTGGAGACTCACACTGCCCAGCAACTCATTCGAGGCATGCCTCTGAATGTCCAAAATCATAGGCCTGGCATTTTCTGTGGGAGATAATTTGCATCGCTAAAAGAAACCCCACTGCATAAGGCACAGATTTTACTTAAAAATCGTTATAAAGCTTTAATATACAGTTTTGGGGGCACAGAATGCCTGGCAATTAACTAGTCTCTAAAGTGCTGGATCAGAATAAACCTGAATTCACAGGGTGAACCAGAGGAAAGTTGCATTTAAACTTTAGCCCAGTGTGAGAGGCCTCCCTGGAGAAAGGCAAAATAGAGGAGGATGGAGGGTAATATGGTTTGAATCTCATTCCACTCTTCCAATTTAATAGGGAGACCGTTACAAAGGGGCTGGAAGAAAACCTTACCATGGTGTGTGTCTGTTGGGTATGGAGGGCAGGGGTGAAGCCCGGAGGGGGAGATGATACATGGCCTCATTTACTCATTCATTCACTCGTTCATTCATCGCCTATTTAACATTCTAGCACCTAGTAGGTTCAGGACCCTGTGTAAGCAGTTGCCCTAACAGTTCTGTAACTGCTGCTTTCCGTCTCTCCCAGAGACACGGGACCCATTCTCTCCTGGGGCGGCTCCTCCTTGTCCCCGTGGCAGCCCCAGCAGCCCCTCCCAGAGGGGCCACGGCCGGCAGGGCCCTCTCCGCGCACGAGAGCACCGGTGAGGCCAGCGGCGCCCGCAGCGAGCTCTCCGCGCCGGGTCGGCGGCGGGGCCCGCAGGAGGGCGGGCGGGGCGCGGAGGAGCTGGAGGCCCGCCCCGCGCCCGCCGCCCGCCCGGCCCCGCCCCGCTCCCCGCCCTGCCCTGCCCGCCCGCCCGCTTGGCGCCGCCTCCGCCTTACCAGGGTTTTGGCTACGTTCCCCCTCTGCGTGATGTTTTTGCTGTGCTTCTCGTTAGCCATCCGGATCCGCTGTTTGGCCACCATGGCTTGGGCTCTCGGAAGGACTCTGGGCTCCCACCTGCAAGGACCCCCCGCGTGAGCCGCAGGCGGGGCCGAGCGCGCCCCTTGGGCCCGGGCGCTGCAGGTGGCAAGGCGCGCCCCCCGGCCTCGCGCAGCCCGCTCCCCACCCCCCGCCGCGCCGGCTCGGGGAGAGGCCAGAGCCCGGACGGAAGTAATCTTTCATCTCAGGAAACCCGCTCCTCCTTCCTCGCCATCCTTCCGGTCCCCACAGCTACCTGCCCAGCGCGGCCCCAGGCTGCGCTGCCGCGCGACCTCCCGCACCAGAGCCGGGGCGCAGCGCACGGAGCCACTGGGCCCTGGGTCTCTGCGGTGTCGGGGTCCCGCAGCCGAATGAGGCGGGGCCGAGGGTTCCGCGGCCGCGGGCTTTGTGCGCGCATAAGGGATGGGGTCTCAGGCGTCTAGGCTCCTGGGTCAGGGACCCACCAACGCCTGGTGGCTTGGTTTCACCTGCACCGCTGTCCCTCTGACCAAGGGCTGGACCAAAGGCTGGACTTGGTGGGTGGGTGGGTGTCCTCAAAAGACAAGTAGAAGCGGGGCAGGGCTGAGCCCGTGCTGCTGTGGGGCCGTCCAAAGGAACCGCCCCTTCAGGGGTCTGGGGAAGGCCCCTGCGCTAGGGAAGCCCACTGCAGCATCTCTCAAAAACGATGCAAAAAGGGCCAGATCTCCCCAGGGATGGGGATAAGGGGTAGTGAGAATGGAACTGGGACAGGTTTTCTTGCCTTGGTAGCTATGGGGGAAAACAGGCCAGCAATGCATCTGCAGCCCAGGTCAGATTGGGTGGTCACTGCCCAAATGTGGGTAGCTTTGACCAGCTTTGGCTCTCCACCTGCCCCAAGTAACCAGGACCAACTCCAGCCACCCTTGTTCCAAGGGGACTGAACTGGGAATTCCCTACAGCAGCAGAGTGATGTATCTCAAGGGTCCATGTGACTCACCGGCATTCCTATCAGGCCCTTACAGATTGCCTTGTGTGTGTGTGTGTGTGTGTGTGTGTGTGTGTGTTGCGGGGGCGGGGGGGGGGGCGGGGAAGGCAGGCGAAAAGAGAGGGGTTCAGTCCTTTACTCTTCCACCTGCTGAATGGATTGGAGTTAGCTCTTAGAAGCTTAGAAGAGTTGAGAAGAGGTAAAGTTTCAACCTGGAAGACGTGGGGCAGTGGGAAGTGCTAGGGAAGAGGGGCTGAGGCACTAGACCAGATTTGGCTAATGCACCCCAGTCTGTCCCTTGCAGGCACCGGTGGCTGGGTTTACAAAGTTTTGTGTGGGAAAAATTCCTCCATGTCAGTGGGAAGTTAGGGAAAACTCCTTTTCTCTTTGGGGCCCTTTACTAAGCTCATCCCCATTCCTCTCCCCACTTCTAGTCATTAAAGCTTTACTACAGACTGTTCCGGGGCTGCCTTTGGTAACTTAGAGGACATAGAATCCCCCTAGGGCAGTGGTCGGCAAACTCATTAGTCAACAGAGCCAAATATCAACAGTACAACGATGGAAATTTCTTTTGAGAGCCAAATTTTTTAAACTTAAACTATATAGGTAGGTACATTGTTATTAACTTAATTAGGGTACTCCTAAGGCTTAGGAAGAGCCACACTCAAGGGGCCAAAGAACCGCATGTGGCTCTCGAGCCGCAGTTTGCCGAACACTGCCCTAGGGTCGTTAGTAAAGTCTGGTCATTCTTTTTTTCTACTCTAGAATTAGTTAAGTTTCCAAACTAGTTTCTATCACCTTCTTAAACATTACCACCGACATTACCATCGTTATTACAGGACTACAAACCAAGTAGGCCCAACTCTAGTCCCATGCTTTTAATAACAATTGACTTTTTTGGGGGGGTGTTAGGGGGGATTGAGGGGGCACCCTTACGTCAGTGACACTGAGCCTGGCTGTGGTGTGAGGCCCAGCAAACACCTGGGCAGGAGGCAGAAGGTAGGTCCTCACCTGAGTGGAATACAGACCTGGCTCTGAGGTGTTCCTGAGGTGAAGGAAAAGATACCGAGATGGTTTTCCCTGTGGGCTTGCAAGCAGAAAAGATTTCTAAAATGAGAAAAGCCTGTCTTCCCACAGGCTCAGATGAGCTGCCTTATGTGGGGAAAATAATTTATTTTGACCCTGCTTGTTAATGACCGATTTTACTCCTTTCCCTGCTATGTTTCACTTTTATATTTTAAGCTAGTTGAATTATAAATAGACTGTATTCTCACAGTAAATATTCAAACAGAAAAAGGATATAAAGTGAAAAGTAAAGGTCTCCCTTTTCTTACCCTCCTCCCAACCCCCATTTCCAGTGGTTTCCAGGCTACCCTTCTGGTATGTTTCACCGGACAAGCCTTCCTGTATATTCCCTTTTTAAAAACAAAATCATACTATACACACTGTTCTGCCACTTGGGTTTCTCACTTAAGTTATTGACAATATTATCACATCTAATGGCACCTCTTTTTTAATAGGTGGGTAATGCCTCATAGTATGATTATAGAGTAATATATTGAGCTAGTTTTTGGCGGCTGTTTCCATTTCTTCGTTTTTGTGGTTGCCAGTAATGCTTTGGCGTGCCAGTATTTATGTGCAATAGATTGCTGGAAGCAAAATTGCTACACCTTTGCATGTCCTTCGGTGTTTTTGGATGAGGCAGTCTCCTGCTGTGACCTCCACTTTCCCCACCGATATCGAGCTTTTGCCCTGTGCAGCCAGGCCTGCTCCTCGGCAGGTCTCGGTCTTGTTTGTTGCCTTGAGGATCACCATTCTTCACCAAGAAGAAGTTTTCCTTCCAGGCATGAATCCTGCCCCTTCATCTGCACAGCCTGCCAACACCAGAAGCTGAGCTGCTCATCCCAGAGTCGTCCCCCCCCCCCCCCCCCCGGGAGCTGGGCCACGGTCTGAAGCAGTGTTCTTGGAGTCCCAGAGTCACTACTTGGTTGAGAATGAACAAGACTGGAGTTATCTTGCTTTTTTGAGATGAGAGGGCTTCTGGCTGAATAGGAGGGGAATGGAAACTTGATCAAGAGCTAATTCCTTTGGGTTAATCGGAGCTGGCAGCAGAATTTTATAACATACCGGTAGCCTGCAGTGCTCAACCGCAACTTCTAAAATTGCCTCGGATAAAGTAGCAGGAAACTGCTAGCTGATTAAAATTTAATTTTGGTTGGTAATTCTTTCAACCTTTAGAGCAAGAATTCCTAGCAAGCCTGTGTACATTAATCACGAGTCTGCCCCACTTAGGGCATTGGGCTTGTGACTGTGGAGACTGAGTTTTACTCATCTCTATAAACTATGTATTAGCAAAGCATACAGATGCTATGCTATCGAGCTGTGATGTAGTGGACATGACATTTTTCTGTGGCTAACAAGCATGCAGACTTCCTTTCCCCTTGGGCCCCCACCGTGTGTGAGAGTTAGGACCTCCTTTCCCACGCTGGGAGCCGAATGGAGACAGATACTTGGCTGTGGGTGTGACTCAGGTTGGCCAAACAGATGCTCCTATTTGGGACTTTGAATCTTGAGCTGACAGTGCAAAGATAAAGGGACAAGTGACACTTCACCCTGGTGGTGGGATCCCTGAGGCAGGTCATATTCAGCAGTGGGGTTTGTGGAGCTGGTGGGGGAGGAACCAGTTTTTTTTTATTCTACTTATTCTGTGGTACCTGGAATTCTTGAAATAAATTCTTTTTTTAAAAAAATTCTTTATTGTTGAAAGTTTTATATATGTCTCCTTTTTCTGAAATAAATTCTTCTTCTGATGGGCAGAGTTTGTTGCTGTTGTTTACATCCGAGAATCCTGACTAATGCACATGAAAACAAATAAAACAACCCAGAATGTCCTTTTTAGTCATTTCTCTTTTCAGATCTGGAATGACTTTCACGTCACTTGAAGCTTTCAGACATTGTCGGCTAGTGACCGCGTCTACTTACCTCACCAAGGGGAACTGCGTATTGAGGCCTTGATGACAGGTGCTATGGGTGGCCAGTTCTCTATTATGGATGAGAGTGATTGACAGGCACAGCTTGCTAAAACCATCAGGTCACTGACACTTCACATTAATGCTTTCAGTTTCTTCCTCATCCAAACCATTTTCAATACTGCCAGAGAAGCGGAAATGTGGCAGATCTCAGTATCATCTCCTTTGGTGCATATTACTTATATTCCAGTGGCATGTTCATGAAAGTGTCTCACAGTGGGCAGAGAAAAGAAGACAGCTGACAGTGTGATCTGCTGCCTGCGTTGGAATCCACTCGATGCATTAGATTATGATTTTATGGAACCATGCCATGTTGTAGCTGGAAGGAAACTTCCGTGTTTATTGAGCGTCTACTATATGCCAGACACTCTTCTAGACACTGAGAATTCAATGACTGATACAAGAGTTTCTGCCTTCAGGGAGTTCTCAGTTGTGTGGGGGAGACAAAGAGGTAAACATCGGGAGGCTGCCCTAATTTACCAAATGAGCAAAAGCTGGGAGTTGCAAAGGATTGTGGCAGAGGTGCAAGAATGGAGGACCATTGGCTTTCTGTTTTCTCAAAAGAAACATCAGGTAAATTTGAGTGGGAGCTAGGGTGACAGGGCACCCCTCCGGGCTGAGCTTTAGAGCAGCTTTTACATGCACACAATATAAATCACACATACACACACACACACGTATGCATGCATGCTTGCTCCTGCATGCACACATGAATACTGCAGAACAAAGATAAAAACTACTACATTCCAGACCTCTAAGGCTTGAAATACAGCCCATAAATGCTAGCACAAGACAGACTCTGACCATTATGAAAACTAAGTCCTTGACCCTAGAGGTGATCAGATTAAGCTTTAAAATGCAAAATGTGATTGCCCATCGCCAGTCTGTAATTGCCTGGCCATGTCTGTTATTAGTAGTGCCAAAGCCATCATATCCCAAGGGGGAAAAGAGTACCCTGCTACAGTGCTTTCCCTCCCATTGACCTCCCATGACAATCCTCTTCATGGCTGAGGAGCGGTGAGGTGCTTCCACGTGTTCAAGCTCAAGTTATGGCTGTGGATTACTCATGACTATGTCCCTGCTAATTTCCACGTGATTTCAGGACAAAGCCACCTTGTTTCTGTTCGATTGGGTGCATGTTTTTAATGGCTGAAGAGTTTCCTGGCGGAGAAGAACTAGCAGTAGTAATAATATCTAACATTCCCTAAGCA